GCGAAGAGTGAGACTTTAGACCTTTGGAATATTACTGGCATAAAAAAGGACGAAAGAAAATTAGTAAGTAATCCCCATATTGTCTTCCAAACTCATGACCATTAACAAAGATGGACGCGATTATACCTCTACACGGTGTTTATTAACGGTCGCTCGGTTCACTATGAGAGTTCCCAAGCGATACTTAGTTAAAATCATGATAGGTTAATCCCATTGTTATATTAACTGCAAACAATGGGTTGGATTTGATTTAGACCATCAATACACTCAGAGCCATTATATTGAGGCATTAACTGAACTAATATCTGCCTAATATCTGCGGAACGCGGGAGGTAATTATGACGTAACCGAATATCGATGCCATGAACATTGAACAGCTGAACACCCTTCCGTATATACCATATTTATAGCCGGTTCCATTCAAGTATTATACCATGGAAACGTAATATTGAGGATATCTTTGCATGTGCCAAATTATAGCCAGATCTGTTCAGCTGTTGTAGGCTGATTGAGGGATACACGTTCACCCATCATAACAATATTTTATTTGATGAAAGTTTGGAGCTGCAGGCTACCTTATATTGCGAGGGGATCATACCGTGACTTCTCCCGCCTTGGATGTATGTAGAAGGAGTGTCAGACTCTTACTGAGTTATACCTTCCCGTTAAGTCCTCTACGGCTTCTTATCTGGCATCAGACCTACTGGAACGGGTTACCGAGGCTTCGGCTAAAAGAAAGAGTGGGAACGGGGTGGTTTTAAGTCAGTAAGAGTCGGGCACTCTCTCGCTTCAACCAAGGCAGGAGAAGTCATTAAAAAAATTAGGAAGAAGATAATCTTAAATACTATTATTAGTAACAATTTTACGGCTTTGAGCCAAATTTCTTCGAGATTCATTCAGCCATTCGTATGTAATTCAGTGAAAAGTGTGCGTGCTTCCTCACAAACTTTCACATTTATGATATAGTTACATTAATAGGATTAATTGAATTAATATCTGCGGAAGGCGAGAGATTATTATGACGTAATCGACTAAGTATCAATACTATGAATATATTAAACACCCACCAATATACCCCATATTTATCGCGGTAGAGAAACCTTATAATCTCGTTCGATATATTAATAAACTTTACACGACAAAATATTTACCTTTAGGTTTAGGATCTTTATAAATAGAAAGTTATATTTGGTTTCATATTGTTAGAAAGGTCTGATTTTAGAATTGATCATCGGCGATCGGGGTCTAACGCTGGTCTTCGTCAAGTATGTCTATAGTCACAATTGCTTATAATAATTATGTCCATACATATGAATAAACCATTAAGTTAAGTATTCCATGAAATACCTCAGATGCATTACATTATCAGCACTTCCATATTTGTGTATGTAGGTGTCTTCATGATAGAGGTCGCGACGATCAAACACTAAGAACTTTTCAATATATTACTGAATCATTTAGAAAAAAACCTCCTAACACGTGATGGGTGTTTCGTCTAATCCGAGTACAGATTAGACTTTTAACATTGTCTCCTACAAATTGATCCCACAGAACAAACAAACACAAAGTAAACATCGAAAATAGTAATGAAAGAGTTTATTATTAAACTTTCATCCGCAATCGTCGAAGCTGAGTCGCGTCTAAATACATCGGGGTCATTACTTTGAGAGTAGCGACCACCGCAGTGTAATCTTCCGATAGCTTAATGAATCAGGACATTATGTTCGAGGAGTCGACCGGTCCGGACATTACCATGAATTGTCCCATCACTACAGGGGGTCATTTTATTGAGTAAACGTGGAGCCATCCTAGCGGGACTGACCTCAAATAGTCAAGAGATCACTAGCATTAAAGCCATAAACTAGTACTGGTAGGTCATAGCGGGTAGCGCACTACTATCATGTTCATGTACTTAAATACATGTCATAAAAATTGTATAAACAAGTAGTCATTTACCTGGCTCTGGAGTTTTATTAGCATAATGTTATCAAATTGTAATGTAATCAGGTAAAATAATGGTAAATAAAGTACGTTTAAATGAAATAAAAAGCGAGTTGGCTGTTTGTTTAGAGTTGAAAACGATTCAAGACAAATGTTTGCTTTGATTTTGTTTAGACTTGTCAGAATACAATTGTGAAAGTAAATCTGAAACAGTTTGCTACAATAAAGTATTTTCCTGTTTTCGAAATGATCGCAACCGGCTTTATTTCAACTAAACCGCTATCGATATTTATAAGGTACAAAATAATCATGGTGCATGAGTCACGGCGTGAGAAGAGTCACCGAGAGTCGCAGGCGCAGCGCGTAGGCGAGCCGGTCCTGAGCACACGCAGCCGTACTAACAAATTACGTTTACCCACAACAATCCGAGTCCACGAGTAAGTTAATGTAGCGTGCATCCACTGGAACCGTAGATACACTCAGAATTATTATATTATACGGATAATGCGGACATTTGAATGCGTGAGAAATGCTTAAGTAGACATCTGCTGAATGTTCGGAAAGCACATCCGAGATTTCATTGTAAGTGGAACAGGCTGAAGATATACCAAACATTTTAGATATGCAGTTCTCGTATTTACTGTATAACATTACTAAACTTGATACATTTTAGTCACTAAAAGAATATTAGTAACACCCACTTTCATTATTGACGTTTTTTTAGATTGATTGGTTAAACGAGTGTCGTTCGGTATTCCGAACGACATATTTTCGTTGAAAAAATAAGTTATATAAAACTACGGCTGATACTACTACTGCTACAATGATATTATGTGTCGCGGAGAACCTAACGGGTTACCGGGGCTCCGGCTCGAAGTGCAGGAGAAGGAACTGGGTGGTTTTTAGTCAGTAAGAGTCTGACACTCCCTCCCGCCTCACCCAGGCGGGAACAATCATTCTATTATTTTCCCCCCTTAAAAAATTTGATATTATGTACATACTTATGTATGTATCTTATTATTTATTGTTACTCTTATTTATAAAAGCCTATATGTGTATATCAATTTCGATAGTTAACTTGCTGCAATACAATCATGCGATGTTCGTACATTTTAAACAAGTAAACAATTATGTACGTTTACGTAATATTACAAAAGTTGTTTTTGTTAGATAAGATACCAACTAGATCAGTTTTACGTGACGAATAAAGATAAAATTCTTTCTTTTAACAATATGACCATATTTTTATCGATCAGATAATGTAAAGAGCACATGTTTCACAAAACGATAGGGCTTTGTAAATTGTATTTTATAAATGATCCTCAGGTTAAAATAATTTATTAATTCTATTCATTCATTACTTTTTTATAGAATAAAACGAGCAGGCGGATCGCCTGATAGTAAGCAATCGGCACCGAAACATCAGAGGTGTTACAAGTGCTTTACCGGCGTTTTGTGGGTTAGAAATTATTGGTTAGGATTATTGAGGATTCGGGGATTGTGGAGCTTGGGGAGGGATAATTGATATTCCTAAACGTCAATAATAAATTTAATTAATAATTAAACAAATACAATATAAAAAGTAAACAAAATTAATATTCCCTACGTTTAATACTATTTACTAATTTTAAATCGCTTTATTTAGCATGTAGAACGGGCTACTAAATGGCTACGCATGCGTGCCTTGTAGGTTCAGTATAAGGATTACAATTATATGCACGTGTGCACATTCAGAAACAGTGTGTGTACGTTGATCGGAGATTACTGGGAGATCTCGTGACAACGAGATTCAATGTGCATGTTAATTTTGTAATTGAAAACTACACGCACTATTAACAATTCCATAATTATTTGTCTATGTTTTGTGTGAACCGCTATCAGGGGAGGAGTATACGATAATGTATCCCGATAATGGTCCCCCCGTATAATTACATAATCGTCTATCTAGTCCATTGCTAAGAACAGTTAGCCTGTTGATTATTATAAATCTATTTATGTACAAAACACCGAAATGAGTTTAAGAGATATATGTCAATTGTCAGATAGCAGAATAGCACACGCCGTGAAATGTTTCATTTTTCTCAAAGTTGCAGAAAATACGATTTTATCATTGCGATATCTATTAACAATATAATATACTTTTGGAAACTCGACGTTTATCCCACTTATATCTGCCACGATCATAATACTTTAATACCTTCATTCAATAACCTGTAATTTAGTAATCCTCTAAAATAAATAATTTCGATTTTATTGTTGTGTGGTGTGCCTGCTACAATTTGTCAATTATTAGTCTGATAATACCTATGTCGTATATATGTATATGACCTACCTATAAAACAAACAAAACAAAACACTCCATTAAGAAACTAGAATTATTACGATCAAAATAAAATATATATAATCCATCTAGAATTTGGCTTTCGTAGTTATAATCAACCAAAGACAGCGTTAATAAATTAACTTAAGTAAAACAACAAAATAATTTTCAACGTCAAAAGAGCTAAAAAATCTAGATATGACAAGCTGAGGCTACAAACTAGTTTATGTAGAGACCTCGTTTTAGCGAGCTTGGCTAGCTTCGTCACCTTAATTCGCTTAACCTGACCCAGTGCGGTACTAGAACATATATATCTATGTTATCACTTACATCACATCGGTACTATAGCTACTATGTTTACAATATGTCTTGATATTGTGCACGGAGAAGGAGTGATGTCCACACATACAGTTGTATAATCGTGAATTTTCTCCAAGTTAAGAACATCATTATCTGCGTAACTTTACACAGACATATTGACAATACATGGTACAGGGCCTATGTTCTGTTTCAAGGCTTCTTCTATTATGATGAAAGAATTAACATAAAAATCCTGACACATTAAATATTTCTTATTTTATTTCTAAACGTGTTTTATTACTATCTTCTACGTTATCTGTCAAGGTAACGCGCATTTTATCAACGCAAACAAAATGCTCATTAGTTACATAAACATGATATCTTGACCGAAAACGTCAGTTGATACACGTCTTTCAAGTGGACACTATACACGTACAAGATGACTTCGACGGAAAGTACACGCGGAATTATTTACAAAGATCAACCATGTTGGATACCATCACACATGAATTATGGAAAACTTGCTATTGACCGCATGTTGAGAGCAAAAGATAAAGTGGCTTTGGTAAGGTGTACAAGTGTTGATGATGATAGTAATTTAATTAATGAAGATGTGTTGTTAATTAATAATGTTTTCGATGTCAAAGATCGATGGGAAGACGGGGCAACAAATAACGTTCGGTGAGGTGGTACAGTTGGTAGTGAATGCGGCGTCGTCGTTAATACGCTTAGGTGTGAAACGTGATGAAGTGGTTGCCGTGTGCAGTGAGAACAGAACGGAATTCTTGATTACTGCAATCGCTACGTGGTGTAGTGGTGCTACCGTCACTTTTCTCAACTCCGCCTACAGCAAAAGTAAGTGTCTTAAAATTTGTTGTTATGTTTTGTTTTGTAATGATTCGATTTAGTTTCTGTGCCATAGAAAACTTTCCTTTGCATATCTCTGTGTCTACAGCTTTAATTAAAGCTTTAATTAATTACAAACTTATATTTTGAATGGTGTGTGTCTTTCTGCTTGCAGATGAATTGGAGCACACAATATCAATCTCAAAGCCGAAATATGTATTCCTTTCACCTGATACTCACAATAAATTCTATAATACTATAGTTGGGACAAAGATCGTAGAAAAATTCTATATATTCGGCGATTCCGTCAATGATCCTAACATTTCGAAGTTTAATAACTTAATTAAGACGTATGTTAATATCGATAGTTTCAAACCAGTTAGCGATCCTGTTAATGGTAAGAATTACCTATTAATAACTATGATAATCATTTTCAAATATGGTCACAATACATCAAAAAATATTTATACCAACCTTTAAAAGTCAAGATATAAAAAATGTTGAATTTTTATATTTAATTATCATAATAAAACAAGACTAAATCTAATATATAATCTACTCTATTTCTGTTACAATACCAGTAGAATTTAATTTTAGCAACTCCATTATAATTGTATTTATTGTAAACAATTTAGCTATAAACCACATTTGACAATAACTGTTAATTTAATAGGACTGGCACAGCCGGCTTTGATTTTGTATTCATCTGGTACAACGGGACTGCCTAAAGGAGCAAAACTGACGCATTTGAACTTAATCACTACTGTTAACCAACCGAGGTAAGTAAACCATTTTTTAATTTGAAATGGTTCTGTGTAATCTCTATAATACAGAACGTTTAAGGAGCAAAAAACTGCTTAATCTATAATATAGATATTACACATTTTCATTAACATGCATACACCAACAGCCTATAAATGCGCACTGCTGAGCTAAGCCTCCTCTTACACGGAGGAGGTTTAGGCTGAGGCTAGCTCAATGCTGGTTGGCGATATCAAACTTATAATTAGAAATAACAAGCCCATGTTTCCTCATGATGTTTCCCTTCACGGTTTGTCAGTGGGATCTAAATAATCGTAAATATTACATATACCTAACTCGAAAAATGTCATGGTACTTCTTATGCATGAGGACGCGGGTTCTAAACCTAGCAACAGCATTAACTATAACAACAGTAAAAAAATTATATTACCTATTTAAACCAAGTTCCCTTTGCAGCCACATCACGAAAGACCTAATCTTCCTGTCCAACGCTCCGTGGTCTAACACCTTTGGAATCATGAGCACAATGGATGAGCTGGTCCACAATCGAACCATTGTATATCTGACTAGATTCAACGTGGAGCAATACCTCTCATGTATTCAAAAGTACAGAGTACGTATAAAGACATTAGTGCCCGTTTCCATCAACTTCTAAATTCGAAAGAACTCCTAAGCTACAATAGGTGGCGTTTAACATCATTTTTAATTTTTACTACAATCATACTCGTAACAGTACAAGTAAGTCAGCTTAGGTGCTGCGACGCGCTGTGACTTTTAGTTAAGTGACAGGGTAATTGATGTAAAACAGCCTTAGGAGTTACAAATCCATTAACGTTCTTGATATTAAATATTATTTATTTTCAGATTGGAGTATTATTAGCAGTCCCTCCATTAGTAGTTACGCTTACAAAATCACCACTAGTACAGAATTACGATGTGACCACAGTTGAAATTGTATACAGTGGAGGAGCTCCTTTAGATCTAGGTGTAATTAATGAGATTAAACAAAGGTACGATGGCGTAAAATTTTAAGAATTACTGAAGAGAACGATTAAACAGAAAAATATATTTTAATTTGACATAAACTCGACAGATTCAAGGGTTTAAAACACGTTTTACAAGGCTATGGAATGACAGAAGTAACAGGAACCTTAACTGAAGAGACAGACGTTGAAACAAAACCAGGAAGTGTCGGCAAAATTGCAATTGGAAACATCGTAAAGGTAAAACGTTACTAACTCAATTCAAACATTTCAACTATAATGGTACTGTTACACGTGATCTAAATAAAGTACATGCCAAAACTGCGTTCTGTTGAGTATGCTCAAACATGTTCAAGATCGAACGCCTGTCGATTCGCAAAAATGCCCAAAATGAGCATGTTATTTCTGAGCAATATTCCGATACACATCATGAGTGACAAGTGCTAATTGAAGCATGCTTCTATACATACATACATAACCTCACGCCTATCTCTCATGGGGGTTGGGGGTTAGAGATATTATGGAGCCCTAATTGCTAAGATTTTTACATACCACTTTCACTTCATCAACAGTCATCAGTCTTTTCATGCATGCTTTAGTGCTTGAAATTAGCATGTGTAATAAAAGGTAAAGGCAGGTACCCTTTGGTACTAATGTAATGATATTTTAGATAGCAGATATTGAAACTGGTAAGGCATTAGGGCCTAGACAAGAAGGTGAAGTTCGCGTAAAGGGTGCGACGTTATTTGGAGGCTATATTGGAAAGAACTTAAAGGACGAATTAGACGAAGAAGGATTTTTCAAAACTGGAGATATTTGTTACTATGATGAAGAGGGCTACTTTTTCTTCGTAGACAGAATTAAAGAATTGATTAAGTACAAAGCTGGACAAGTAAGTATTGTGATAGAAGCTACGAAAATGATAACAAACAATTATCAACATTCATTAATGGATAAATTCTTCTAGGTAGCTCCTTCAGAATTAGAAGCAATTTTACTTCAGCATCCAGGTGTTAAAGATGTTGGAGTTATAGGGAAACCAGATCCTATGGTTGGTGAACTTCCTACAGCTTTCGTAGTGAAAATGCCAGGATCAACAGTTACTGACAAGGAACTGGTCGATTTTGTGGCTGATAAGGTAAGTTTTAAATTGTTCATATATAGTAGAATCTTAGAAGCTAGCTCTTATGTAATGCATTTAATTGTTATTGTGTATGCCAATACTCAATATTAAATCATCTCTATCAGAATTTTGCATAAATTATATTTTTACTGCACGGTTAGTGCGATGGCTGGGCAATTGGCTGCGAACCACAAATTGTTGTTCCAGGTCGGGGTGTCGTGTATATTTCAAATTGTGTGTTTGTAAACGCACCCACGATACATGAGAAAATACTAGAGTAGGGCAACGGTTCTATAAAAAATAAAACAATATACTATAGATGATATCTAAGCCTGATCACTGGCTATAAAATATTCAGCAATGATAAGAAGTCTTTTGATAATTGTTATATCTTGTTGTTTACCAAATAACCAAATATATGTTCGATAGGGTCTATCATGTACCTTGATTACGTAATCAAATAGATACGTATGTAGGTATAAAAATGTAGGCACATATAACATAAATAATACTAATATACATATATATATATATATATTAACTGCCTCATTGGTCGAGTGGTCGCAAGTGCGACTGCCGGGCAAGGGGTTCGATTCCCGGGTCGGGCAAAATATTACTGGGTTTTAAAAAATTCTCAGTAGTAGCACGGAGTCTGGAATTGTGCCCGGTATATGGCAATAGGCTCACCCCCTATTACATGGGACTCATAACATAAATAGTGAAAAGTGGGTGTTACATTGTACAGTGGCATAATGTGTACCTCTGCCTACCCCTTCGGGGATAAAAGGCGTGATGTTATATATATCTTAACCTGTGATGATCTACACGAGATACAATGTGTTTTCTATTGTGTCTCATATATCGACAGACAAGAGGTTAATTAACAGTTACTTTTTCATAAGCATGTTTTTGTTTTTATGAATGTTTTGTCTTTATGATTCTAATAATAAAGACTTTTCTACGTAGCGTTACCTAAGAGCAAGCAGGTTTACTTTTTTATTTTTAAAATAAATATTTACTGATACAAGTATTTTATTAATTGGTAACATGTGTCGTATAAATTGCAATTTACTTACTTTTTTAAAATCTGCGTTTAAAAACCGATTTTAAATAACTATAATTGGTACTGATAGGTTACCCACCCTCTGATAGGCTAGAAGTCGGCGCCATAAGTTCTAAACAAAATTAAAATCGATTCACAAATGGTGGAGTAATCGGGTATTAAAAAAACAACAATCAGCCGGACATAGTACCTCCTCCTTTTTTTTTAAGTCAGTAAAATGAGAATCACCAACACTTATTTAGCAAGCGTGGTGATTAATGCTCAAACCTTATCCGTGTGAGAAGAGGCTTTGCTCAGCAGCGGGCATATAGGCTGTTGATGATGAAAATGAGAGCATTTTGTTAAAAAAGGAATATTCATTTAAGTTACATAGGGTTCGATAAAATGAAAAAAAAATTATAGTGGCTACATTTCTTTGCACCTAGGTATGTGTAGATACATAAAACTGAATAAAATAAGTACATATAATGACAATGCAGTTCATCAATGGAAACTCCAAACTGGCATGAGATTAGATAAAGTACATATTATATTTATTACATAAGACGTAGGTATGTTGTTTTTGTCGTTTGTTATGAGTAATGTTATTAATGACGTTGCCTGCTATTGGTTGCACGTAGCTGATTACTTTGATCAGTGCATACCAACAAATAATATCATTATCAGGTTTTAACAGAAGTAGCCTAATATTATAAATTGATAAGTCAGTTTGTTTGTTTTTTCATTTCGCTTTATACTTTCTACTTCATGAAATGCATACTTAACTAATATAGTTAATAGTACTTTTCAAGGGACATACATTATGAATGAAGTCGCGGTTAAAAGATAGTACTTTAAAAAAAACGTGGTAAACATCTCTATCATGAGTATTATTGACTATCTCTTAATACTTAATACTTATAAACGATATTTGCAATAAATTGCAATCATATTAATATACCTAAGTCTATCAGCGTTAACTTATCAATCTATAATTTTATTCGTCTGGTTTAGATATTATTGCATCGAATTTATTCATGATTAATTTATTGACAAGATTATCAAATTATTACACAATTATTTTACCTCTTATTACTTAATAAACAATAGATACGTTGCGCCTATCGCAATAACCCTTTTTATTTTATTTTATTAGCATAGCTCTAAAAAGCATATTATATAGATAAATGTGTAATTACGAAACTAACAACAACCAACATAGATACATGAATACGTCTAAATATTTCTTTTGCATTATATCCACCCAAAGATTGTCTGGTCGAAATCACTATAAGTGATAAGACCGCCATTGTGCTCATTATTATTTTTTATTTATGTTTGTCATTTCCTTTTTCTGTATGTACTATATTATTAATGGTGTACATAAAGATCGTTTTATTCTATTCTATTCTATTCTATTCTAGGAAAGGATAATATTATCGACAGTAGAAAGTTTTTTTATGGCATAAACCGGTAAACGAACAGGCGGATCACCTGATGGTAAGCAATCGGCGTCGCCCATGGACACCTGGAACACCAGAGACGTTACAAGTGCGTTACCGGCCTCTTGGGGTTTAGGAGTTTGAGGATCGTTGGGGATTCAGGAATTGGGGAGATTGGGGAAGGGAAGGTTTAAACATAAGTACTAACTTTAAACGTGTCATGTTCGTGAACGGGCGCCGTCAACTGGGACTGGTCAGCTCCAGACTGTATTACTGTCCTTAAGGTTATTTTCTTTTTTGATCACTTTGACTGGATTTTAGTGTTACATTGTTCTCGCACAATCCAAACAGCAAAACTATGTAACTAGTAAATTGTATTGTGAACCTGATTGAAAAAGAGTAACCTATGGAGTTTCTTGCTCGTTCTTCTCCATAGGAATCTACGCCTTGGAATGAGCAAATAGCTTCACTTAAATTTTTGTTTTTGTTGACGTTCAAAAGTGCCATTCTGGCCTAATTGAAATAAATGATTTTGACTTTGACTTTGAAACATGTCTTCAAAAACAGAAAATAGATTTTCCCAGAAGCAAGCAAGTAGAGTTTAACAGAAGATAAACTTTTTAATAATCACTCAGATTAAGATATAAGTACTGAGGATAGTAGGAACTCGAGTTTTCAAACGTATGTTATTTACTTTTCATATTTTTATCAATAATAAATCATTGTTCCAAAAAACGTAGTTACACAATTTTCCAGGTACTGGAAAAGCTACTCACAATTAAAAAAGAACCTTAGTACCATTTCTAACAGTTCTTATATTCAAGTCATATTTAACGAGATCCACACTCATAATGTACCTTCTGTGATTTCTAGAAAGTGTTTAATTTGTGACTCAACAACACTCAAAGCGCTCCTAAGCGGATCAAAATCGGTTAACAAAAAATAAACGTAATAAAATCCATGGAACTACTGCTAAAGGAATACATTTTTTTGTTCGTTTACGAAACAGTATTTGTTCAACATTCAATCTGGTATATTCTCTATGTATACAGAGGTGTCTATTAAACAGTATTTTAGAAGGCATTTTATAAAGACTATTTTATAAATTCGACAACTTCGATTATTTATTTTAGAATTTTAACATCTAACAATCAAAAATCGAATTCTACTCGAAAACTCTTGCTTACTTAAGATCACTCAAATCAAGAAGCAATTTAATATCCAGTAATAAAATCGAATAGTATGATAAAATCAGATTTTGTAGACCCGTCAAAATTCTGTACGCAATCAAGTATTAAATATAGTGTTAAGCTTGAAAAAGTCGTCACAATCAAAGTATAATAATGTAAAGAATCCTACTTTTCTTTTTTCATTATCAGCATCAGAACACAAAACTAAAGATAACCTTTTTATTATCCAGGTGTCATCGTGGAAGCAATTGCGGGGTGGCGTCTATTTCGTAGAAGATATACCAAAGACTCCTAGCGGCAAAATATTAAGAAGAATATTACGTGATTACCTTAAGAAACCTGCTAGCAAACTGTAGTCGTCTTTTTAACTTACCAACTTATTATGAGAAGAACCTACGAGAGTTTGTTATCGAAGAAGTTGAACGGAATAATAAATCATGTCATTGTCATGTGGGCGATGGTACAGCATCTATTCAAATAGGTGTTGTACCATCGCCATTGAATAAAATGTATCACATAAACTTGTAATAATTGTTATCTGTCACCTAATAAAGTGACGTGCAAATCGTTCGTACTTAAACGTTTCCCAGGGCTGCAACATTGGCTTAAAAAAAATACTTAACTAAAAAAACAGATAATTGTGAAACATTTAGTTTTGTACAAATCATAGCTTTAGACATTAAATAACTACGTAAATTATGAGTTGTTTACTTCTAGACTTAGTTTTAGACCCAAAATGTATAAAAAACATTCCTCGGTAGTTTAAAATAAACAACAAACGAACGTTCAACTTGGACGACAAGTCAAATTAGAAGCTTAATTTTTAAGGAAACTGCCAAAACCGCGATCCCTTTGACGGCGTTCATGGCAAACAGTCAAGTACATGCACAAACACCTAAATTCGGTTTGTAAATACATCAGTAATGTTTACTACGTCCATTTAGGAGCCGTTGGCGTTGAGATGTAGGTAGACATGTAATGGTACCTAATAGACCATAAGACATTATGGCTTCGTCCTCGAGTGAGTAAATTGCATGGTATGGTGCGTTCCGACCCCCGCCCACGGCCGCGCATGAGCCCATAATGACACTGCAAACGTCCCATTTAAAATTTTTACTTTTCTCAAACCGCACCTCTAATAGCACGCGTGCTTTTACTTTTTTTAGATCGTTAATTTTAACATAATTTTTGGTAATACACATTAGTAATAAGAAACGATTCTTTAAGAAGTCTTGACAGTAACTTGTTTTACTAATTATTAGGGACCTACCAATTAGTTACGAATTGTTTTTAAACTAGATCACACACCTAACCTATCTGAAATTAATTTCAACGCCATTATAACTTTAACAAAAAGGGTTAATGATAGATTATGGCAATATTTTGTCTAAGTGAGCCAATTTCGATTTTGTTATGATAAAACAAGTGAGTAGGCGTATAATGCCACTGACACACTCGACCTTGCCCAGTTCTTGACTCAGACTTAAGTGAAACTGTGCCACAAATTATCATATCCAATAGAGCAGACAAATATGCAGCATGACGTAATAGTACCGTGAGGTACAACAAATAAATCAATAAAAAAATAAAATTCGTCAGATAGGAAAACGTGTAATCCAAAAGATCTGAGTAGTTTATGCGCGCACACGTCAACAAACAAACGTGTGATATGTGCCCGATTGTTAAAGTCCGATAAAAACTGCGCTGTCAAACATTTTCAGAAGTATGTGCCAGCCTTTTGTTTCGTCCTGTTCGTTAAATACACGAAATATTATTTTTGCTATCTACCGTCAGCGTTAATCATGAGCGAGACAGTTGCCACGATGTTATGCATAAATGTAAAAGCTTTTACCAGCTTTTCATAAAAATAACTTCAGGCTAGTTTAATTTTCACCAGAATAAAACGACGAATACGTTTTAATGAGCCATCAAATATTCTCAGAATGTAGCTAGCCATAAATGTGTACTTACATGAAAGTGTCATAGATATAAAACCATAGAGAAGTAGTATAAAGTGTAAATGCACACAAGGCAACAATAAAAGCACATGAGTTTATAAGTTGTGCATAAGCAGTGGTCACAGACGCCGACACCTTACAGCACTGTCAATATTTACCTTTCAACGCGGCATTCACTCTGTCCAAATCGTAGAGTGACAGTGGAAGAGGCTCGTTCAACAGCCGCAGCCGAGGCTTGTTCCCATTGGATGACTCCTCGGAAAAGCCATCGCTCAAAAATATACCCGACGAATGTCTGTACAGTTTGTAAGCACACTTGTTCGTACGAAGCCAGTCAACAAATACTATCGCGCCGTTCAGAGAGCGCTCATCTCCTGAAACGACGTGACTCCTCAGTTCCTCGATGTTCCCCTTTATGACCAAACGAATGTACAGCTTGTAAAACATAAACACTTTTACATTGGGCTTGGTGCCGCGCTTTATCTTCCTCACGCTCAGGACCCTGGCGGTGAAAATGTATTTAGACTCAGACACGGCTGACGACAGAATTTCGTAGTCATTAGTTATCGTCTCGTTTAAAACACATTTGGAGCCGTTTATGTCTTTCTTGCGGTAAACCGTATCCCGTTTCCTCACTTCACCCCTTATACGGAAATGGGCATAACTTATCGTAAAGCAGTAAAGCAATAACACTAAAACCTTTAGCTTCATTTTGATTGTTATATTGTTTACTGCCATATCTATATCGGAGCCATTTCAGCGGCTTATAAGTTAAAACTTTTGATGTAGATCGTAAACTCACATGAAACACAAAGTTGCGCAAGTTGTCGGCGTGGCGCCACCGAGACGCGTGCGCTAGCGCAGCCTCGCGCGCGGACTGGGAGACCTCGCAATTCGATACAACCTTCATCAACGTAAACAAACATGGACTTACGTTACGTTAAACTATGACTCGGCTCGGGAGGTAATTAGTACAGGCCGTGCTAATTGACGAGATGGTTTAAAATGGAAAGTAGGCTTCTATTTAGATGTAGGTACAAGTATCTGTGTTCCTGTGTAGAGCCGCATTAGCAAAAGCTTTCCATTTTATTGGTGGCTACTGTTAGTTGCGCAATCTGACACGAAAAGAATTTGAATATTCGTTTGTAGCGATAGAGAACTCGTGGTTTCAGATAGATAACAGATAGGATAGAGCAATACGTGGCACAAGTTAACAGTTATTGCCGAATGCACGGCGGTGCACGCCTGCCCGACTGTGCCCCTGAATATTCATGTACAAATTCGGGTTGAACTAGTAGAGAAACTTTCTCTGTGTTTCGCACTGGATACTAAAAATTTGAACAACAAAATGTGCTTCTACATATAATTGGAGGGAAGTATTTTCTATTTATTTATTTTTGTATCTAAATCACTCATTTATTTATGAGGTTTTTAAATAATAACACTTCATGTTGGTAGAATATAGTGTAACACAGTTAAATTACAACAACTCCAATGCAGTACTTACGTGAACCAAGTAGGTATTTAAAAAATAATATGTCAAAGCAGTCAGACTTTATAATTATTGCAGGACAGGAATATACGTAGTGGAACTGTAAACGAGATTTAAAAATGTTGTTAGTCGTCGTCGCACGTACATAGGTGATTGCAAGCGCTTACACGAGGAATTTGGAAAGTGGTACGAGCGTGGGCGGGCGAGTACGGGCCGCTCGCTTTCTTGACGAATCTTCAACGTCGCACTTTATATTTTGTAACATTTTTCACAGACTGGTCTGTTTACTTGTTTACTTTATAGCTCTACACAAAATATCTTAGTAACTCGTTTCCAAATCACGTCGTCATCGGTTCCTGATCATTGGAAATGGCCACTCAATTCGAAGTCATGTACCCAGTAGACACAAGAATATAAACATGTTTGAAGGTTGAATCAGTTGCATTTTATTTCGTTAAACACAATTGACGGCGCGTCAGATCGCTATCGTACTCCTAATAGAGCATTAAGTAAGTAGCCGTCTCTGTAACAAGATGATAATTGAGTATTCCGAACAGATTACAAGCATAAGATATTTTAATTTTATAGTCATTACAGGCGCGCAGTGTGCAATCAGATGCTCGCTTCGTGTGTGGTATATTACTATCGTGACGAATACACTCAGTCATTACTTTCTCTACAGCCAATAACGCCTCCTGCGATGATAGCTTTAGATATGAAACCGCGCGGTGAAGCATCGCCGTATCTATCGATGCATTGGCATTCCTTAATATATTGCCTCACTGATCATAATATGTTAAATATCTTTAAGAATCTCCATTGTTACCATCAAGTTACACTCACGCAAGCTTCTTTAGCATTGGAGCCCTTAAATGTCTAATGAAGCAGATTAAATCGGATTCGTCTCTGAGTCTCCTAGTTTATCTGTAAGGATTCCCACGGATCGTGCGGCCTCTGGGCTGATACAGATCAGGCGGTCGCAGGCGACGTCGCAGTCGCTAACTAAGGCGACGCAGAAGTGATACATAACAACAGAGAGTCACGTGTCAGCAGTCGCATCCCTACGATGTAGTGTTAGATAGGACGTGCGATTCCACCTCGCTCTGTATGGAAAGCGTGCGGCTAGTGCGGTCGAGTGGTCGGCGGGCGGCGGCGAGGACCAAACCCCGCGATACTCATCTCATCGTCGGATTATGCGAGGCTTAAATTGGATCTTCTTGGAATTTTTAGGTTAAAATGGCTTTCGCAATAAAATTTATTGCGGAGTATTTGACTCGGAATAAAGTCTATTCGTGACCCACTGCGAATTCAATTAAAGAGCATCTCAGCGTAATATTATTTACATTCTTTCCTACTGGGCAACCCGCTTTTATAAAAGATATAAAAGATATTGGAGTAATAAATAAAAGAGGAATTTGCAGCGTTTCATCAACGTTAAGTAATATTGCAAATTCACAAATGTACCTACCTACTTGAAAACGTTAGAGGCAGTTGAATAAATTAAGTAATGATTCTGCGTTTACATAAAGGTAGGTATTTTAGGGCCGAATTACACTGTTATCAAATTGATGTTATTTCACAATTACCATTGGCATTTGGAGTGTTTGCTCAGTTAATTAGAATACGTTTGTGTGAACAATAATCGGGTGCGGTATACATTGATTGATCATGGTCGGCGGTGTGCACGTGTGTTTATGTTGGGCTCAGGCGGCCGAGCAAACGTTCTGATCGCCTTCACTCCATTAAGTTAACGAACAGTTGTCAAGATGTCGATCAAAATCGACTTTTAATACGTTCCCGATGTTATGTACGCTATGGATGCAGCACCCACACGTTATTGTAACTTGTGTGAAGTTAAACCGATTGCATGCATTACTTTGCTTGGATTTGTTTTATTTGTATTGGATTGTGGCTACACTACGGCATGAATTTTTATTGCTTGTTTTTTCTAGGTATTTGCATCGTGAGAATTTTACAGATTTTGAAACGAAGATTGTTAAACATGTGGTGATATAAAACTAACTTACCTTTAACAGCAGCATTTACTCTGTCCAAATGGTATAAAGTTAACGGCACTGGGTCTGTCAGGATTCGTAGTCTAGGTGTGGGTCCTCTGCCCTTATCAGCGTACGCGCCATCACTCAGGAAAATGGCAGAGAGCCGTGGCCTCGGCGCCGGCGCACATGACTCCCGCGCACGAGGCCGCTCCACCATCAACGTAGAACCACTCAAAGTCTCTTCTGACCCTTCTAACTTCACAAACATCCTCAATTCACTCATATCCCCCTTCAATAATCTTCGCAAATACACTGTATACAAGTTCGACTTTTTCTTTGTCAACCTATCTTCTGAACGAAACTTCTTCACATTCAAAACCTTACCAGTAAAAATGTACTTCGATTTCCCTATCGCTTCCATCAAGGACCACTCATCATTGATAATAGTCTCATTGAAGTTACACGGCGGCAGCACGGCCCGGTGCCGCCTGTGGGCCGTGTACCTTTTTCTTACTTTGCCGCGGATCCTGATCTCGCCACCGACGACGATCGCAAGCGCGATAACATAAACAATAACCATCGAGGGCTTCATGTCGCAGAATAGTTGGTTAACACTCCTGAATGCAGCCGCAACAAATGTATCTGTCACATTATGCACGTTATTTATGTCCACAGAGGCGTATAAAGTGGCGGCGACGACTTATTAAAGGGTCGAGGCGTTGACATCTCACTAACAGAAAGTCATCAAATTGAATATTTAAAATCTTGATCGAATCAGTATTTTATGTGGAAAGCGAAAAAATAAAAGTCATTAAATAGAAACATAAGCATAATGAGTATGGCGGGAGTTTCTCACGGTCGATCGATCGGGTTGTTGGTAAACAAACAAGTGAATCGTGTCGACCGGTGCGTGCGAGACGCGTGCGCGCGCGCTGCTTGCCGGCGCTGACTGAAGCCTGTCATACGCAGCCTCCCGCTACAAAATAAGGGAAGCTTCTGTACTCACTCACTGCGATCGTAAATACTTAATTGACACTTGATTGATTCATCAGTTTATTACAATGGTTTGAAGTGAGTTTAAAAGCTCATCTACCTTGATTGAAAGCTTTGGTTTTACAATGTAACGTATTTACACAATTTACCGTCATCATTGAATGTCAATTGTTTTCATTTAAATTTTTCTTCTAGTAAAATGAAACCAAATCTAACTTAGCCAACACCTATGCAAAATTTCATACTCAAGAAATCCTCTTACAAACCAGAACTGAGAGTCCAACTGGCGATCGGAGCAGCATTTTCGACGTGCCAAATGACTAGCATGCTCTGGAAGGCAGTCGAAGGGAAATAAATCCGTCTGGAGTGAGCTAGATAGTGTTGTGCATAACTCGCCGGGGGCCGGAGACCGTGGTACGCAAGCGTGGTTGTGAAAGCCCGCGATCGCGATGCGTGCGCGCGTGGGCGGACGGGATGTGGCGCCGCGAACCGCTCGCCTTAGAATGGTACAAGATATAGGCGCTAGCATTGTCATTGTCACCTAACACAAAAACATTATTAATTGTATCTTTCTTCTCACGGGCTTGTTTATTTGAATAATTGTATGTTTTTTTTATAATTAAACATCTTCTTCTATCTTTCTTCGTAATTCAAAATTAATTTAGTTTAAAGAATAGTAACTTTGGCATAATAATAACACTAAAATAAAATAGGTATTATCTTACAATAAAGACGTAGTTCTTATTAATATGACACTGAAAAGCGCTTTATTTGTAACACAATAATATAGTAAATTGAATTACGGAATATAATTAAATTATGGCAATCCTGCTAACAGCATTTACACATTAACACCGTCTCAGGAGTTTCCCAGTTCATAGCGTGTACCACATGAGTAGTCGATGCTAACAAATCTTTGAGGTGTAATTGCTGTATACCTACGTCGGTACAGAAACAGCAAAACGGGAATGTTATCTGCGCCGCAACAAACTACAACACTAATGGTGAAACGTTGTACCCTGGCGAAACCCGATAATTTATGTTAATATTTTATACGTATAAATTTTTATAACTATGGTTATAATCTTTATTGCTGTCTACTTTGCTAAAATACTGGCCTTTACAAAGTATCTTTAGATAACTATCCAATTTTACCGTTTCACAATCATCGGTTCACGAGACTTATATTTACATAGGCATATCAACGAAAATATCATGGTAATGCAATAATAACAAGCCGAGGGCATTGTCGAAAGAATAAAAAGTACGCACAATGCACATCTTCCCACACATGCAGCTTTGTTTGTGTTAATAACTGCATGCGGCCCTCGTACGGAACCGCGGGACTCGTTCCAGTTGTTGGCATGCTTTTGTTCTGCCTATCTGCCACCCGTACACTCGTACCCGAGTAATTGATGTGCTTGTGAACCACTTACCGGCTGTTACCACCTGATATTTCATCTTGTAGTTATCTCATGTCTGATCTTTTAACATCACCAACGACCATTGCTAAAATTTAATGCTAATTCATTCATAATCTGCTATCATTATTAAGTCATTATCTTACCAAAATATTCTAAACAAACAGATGACAAATGGCTGATTTCCTCAACTCTTACTTAGGAATACAATTAAGGAACTTTATGAACTGCGATAAATATTTGTAGGAATACGGTCAACCACTCCAATTGTATAATTTATCAGAGCTCTACGTTTGAAAATCACTTCTAAGGCTTTAGAAGCAGGGTCTATTGTTGCGCATCGCAAATGAAACAGCAAAAGCTATCGACGTAGCTGATTGTACACACATGATATTGACGCAGAATATAATTTCGGTACCGACAACGCGGCATATTCCCCGCAATAATTCACGCTTCGGACTCACCCCAAACTAATCCCGATTTACTGAAACGATCACGGCGCGATATTAAATCACTCTGTCAAACTGCAACAAGCCGCTCATTAAGCCCGCCCCGGTTAGTAAACACCGATACACCCCTATTACGGCTGACTAACTCAATTAATATACGGATGAAAGTAAGAAAAACGCCATAACTGGGCCGGGAAACAGCGTTCGACTATATTCCTTCTAACTACAGGCAATAGAACAAAATATTGATCACTCACAGAAGCTGCAGACGTAGGCATTAAATTGAAAATGCAAATCGATACACAGCACTGAGCTTATTAAGATTACTTTCTCGTTAAAAATATTCTTTATGGAGTGGACAACATATAGCCCGAGGCGGATGTTCACTTAATAGCTATTTTCTACTACAATTATCATAAAAGACGTTGTCAATTAGTGTTTAACGATATTGTGGTCGGGAGGTCTAAGAGAGTATAAAGATATATTTAATTATTCATTGGTTGGTTTGTAAACATTTACTTTATTATATAATTATAGACTGATGAAAGTAAACAGAAGCATGATGGAGTAAATAAAAAATCCCAAAGTAATGAGTAGATATTGCGTAATAGAGTAAGTCTGTGTATGTCATAATTTGCAGCATGCCATAATGTTCGGCCGGTCGTGGCGGTAACAAGAGCCTAACGCACATTTGTACATGTAAATGCGGGTGCCCAGTAATTAGGGTCACGACTATCAAAACCAATTCTACCGGTCAAAATATACGGTGCAAAGTTATTTTAGTGAAGTTATCATCTTTATTACTTCCATCAGATTTCAGACTATAACACCGTGTCGTATGCACACAACCGCATGGGCAAAGGGCAACCCGGTAATTGATTTATGTACTTATTATAACAATAAAAGCAACGTGTATTGCGCCAATGTCAAACAAATATGTAGGTATAAATAATTGACATAATTTTAAAATAACATTAATTATCTTTCTCTTATAAGACAACATCACACGCCAACACCCATATTTTGGAACAAATTTTAACATTATATAGCTTCACTAAAATTTCAGACTCTAACTTTAACATTGTCTATTCTAATTGACATTTTCACTTATCCAACCAAATTACTCCCACTAAAATACCAAAATAAAAACAATCTAGTCCGTCAAACGAGCTAGTGACTAACACAATTGTGTAGCAAGTTCGGTAAATTAAAAAAAAATATTACATTATTTTACCGGGCACATATTTCAAGTTCCTACAGTCAAGCAAAAGGAATGGAATTCAAAGTCTTAGAAGAGATTTATGGAGGAAAAGTAACGATAAACGACTTATGTCGCTGATTGTCCCAACTCCTATCTCATTGCGACCACCCCACCGCCTGACAAAAGCTGAGACAACCACATTTTCCCTTAAAGTTGTTGCATCTTTGGGTGACACCCCTGTTTGTATTAAGTTCTTACAATCTACAGCACTGACTCACCAAATGAAAAGTTACTTCGTTTATAATGAAAATACGATGAATAAATTACAAAGTTTTGTCGCATCGGTCATTTGCGTCATTAATAAATTAATGTCAGTTAAGGCGCATCTCCTACCGTAATAAAATGCCCCATCAGTATCGTTTACATCAGTCATTTTGACGCTATTAAATGATTTCTTGTTTCAATATTTTGAACCTTAATCTACTTTCAAAAGGAGCTTAAATTAAATTCCGACACAGTTATTGAAAAAATATCAATGGAATGGTAAAACGATCCCTATTTTGTGCGAATAGAAAGACACCTGAAAATGGGACATCATTAGTCTTTTACGAATCACGGTTCAACAGACCAGAAGTTCCTTAGAGCACAAAGGTGTTGAGCGCTGAAGGACGGCTCTCGGGGTTCGTTTGAGCGAGAGCGACGATGCGGACCAAATGTACTGTTCAGTAATGTCCGTTAGACCTCGCCTTTTTGTTATAAAGCTCTTCGATCCACGGTTTATTACCTACACTAAACACTCAAGTTCCGCTTCACTAAGTTGTGCGTTTATGAGCTGCTGACACAGTTTGATGACAATTCCGAATATACTATGAGCGTGTACTGCGACGTCGAATGCGGAACTGGTTACTGCGGCATACATTGCCGATGGGCGCCCGCCGGCCAGTTGCAATGATTACGGTATTTGTATCATTGTTACCGATTACGTCAGAGGCTGTAATTTTCGGTATTTACCACTCTCCTAGCCTGACAAACCAGAACTAGTATGGCAAAATGAATTCACGTGTGCGACGTGCACAAGTACAGTCTACCCACTATATTTCCCCCACATGCCAAAACTCCTTGAAGTAATTATTGAACATAACCCACAATGTCAGCTCGTCTTCGATAGTTAGACAGGCACTCCCAGTTTATCCTGCTTGGAATGTAATTAACGTCAACTGATCAGGGGCTGGATGGATTAGTTACAAATTTAGACTAAATTGGGCGCGTCAATCTGAAACTTAACCACGAGCGGAACTTACATTGACGGGTGCCGGCGGAACTTCCGGTCCGCACGAGGACATCCCATCAATGATTCAATTTATCTGCCCATCACGACCACTTCCGGAAGATACGAGTACTCCACGATATGTATATTTTATCTGTTGCTGTATTCACATGGCTTTATTGCCGGCATAGCTGGCATAGTGGTAGATAGACTGCCTCGTTGGTCGAGTGGTCGTAAGTGCGACTGCAGGGCAAGGGGTCTCGGGTTCGATTCCCGGGTCGGGCAAAGTATTATTGGGTTTTTAAATAATCTCAGTAGTAGCATGGAGTCTGGAATTGTGTTCGGTATATGGCAATAGGCTATTTATGTTATGTAGGTATGTAATTGGGCACCCCCTATTACATGGGACTCATAACATAAATAGTGAAAAGTGGGTGTTACTGATTGTACAGTGGTATAATGTGCACCTCTGCCTACCCCTTCGGGGATAAAAGGCGTGATCTTATGTTATGTAGTTTGGCAGTCTGTTGAAATGTATAGAGTTTCCATATATTTACGAATGGACCAACTGTGGCTAGCCAACCTACACTCGTTTAGAATTTTTATGATTTCCAACAAAAGTTTGAGTCATTGTTGTGATTTATTATTGTTGAACATTATATTTCTTGTTAACTTCATTGAGTAATACCTACCAAAAACCCATACCTAATATCTAAAAAAAACATAATTTTAGTTTTTTTATGGAATAGGAGGCAAACGAGCAGACGGATCATCTGATGGTAAGCGATCAGCGCCGCCCATGGACAAAAGTTGTGAATATATTTTCCTCGCTGTGAAATAAGTTAAGTTCAATCCTACCTACGTCCATTTCTATTATTAGTTCGGTTCGAAGTTCTGTTCCCGATCATCTAATCAGACGGTGGAGGCAGACGGACACTGTCTCCTACTTTAAGCAGGACGACTGGTTAGACACTTCTGTCTACATTTATTTTGAGACCAAAGGTAGAAATACTATTGTTTAGAAGTGCGATATTTGCTGATTCTGTTTTGACAATGATTTTTCTATGCCTTCTTACGTAGAACTTACTTATAACTTAAAGTGATGTAAAATGAATGATGATGAATATGTAAAATAGGTAGGTAGGTATATAAAATGCCGAGTGTGACTGCCGGGCAAAAAGGTCTCGGGTTCGTTTCCCAGGTCGGGCGAATGGGTTGTTTTTAAAAAAAATCTCAGTAGTAGCACGGAGCCTGGAATTGTGCCCGGTATATGGCAATAGGCTCACCCCCTATTATATGGGACTCATAACATAAATAGTGAAAAGTGGGTGTTACATTGTACAGTAGCATAATGTACACCTCTGTCTACTCTTTCGGGGATAAAATGTAAGATTTATGTAAAATGTAAGAGTTTACAGTATATAAAGGTTTACTTTTTACATTTTTAAAAGCATCCTTAGAATTTATTGTTCGTCTAATACAACGTTGTGATAAGAAGATATGAATTACAGATACTACTGAGAGATGATGTCACTTAAAAATAAAACTCAAACTATTGTATTTTAATCGAATGCACCGTCAATCTACACCGATACTCCAGCCGTACACTAGGAAAATGTCAGAGATAAAAATATTTTTACTCCGGGATTATACTAGAGCCGCTCGCATAATATGCATGAACTGGACGGGCTTAAAATATTTATTCGGATCGGGAACAAAAATTGCATAAAACATCAGTATATCAGAGCGAATAAAGGAATAATGACGCTTCAATACACATATCAATGGACCCTAGACTATGTACAATGGGGATTGACATACCAAGGTGTAAATTGTAACATATAAACTATATTTATGTATGTATGATTGTTAAGCGTGAATGTCTATTGAATAAAATAGACTTCACTATTCGAAATAAATAACTATATAGATCATAGATCATTTTTTTTTTATGTCAGACTGTCACATAAAAGTATATTGAATAACTAATAAAAAAGGGAGTCGGCTGCAACGTACACGTAAAAGACTATGTAAAATCGCTTTAACCCGTCGGGCGTCCGCGTTCCTTATGATCCAATAGGTGCACACGTGACATTTGGAGAAATAAAGAAAGAAAATGCATTTATTTGGCCATTGGCACACGAAAACAAGGATCATTACAATAGAAATAAAAAATACAGTCATAAAAAAACATTAATAATAGATTTTATAAAAGAGAAAGCAGCATGGAGCATTTTTTCTTATGATCCACCGGGTGCTCATAAGGACGCTCGAGGGGTTAACTTTCATGAGACACGATATAATTTGTTTTACATTAAAGGCGGCAATAACTTGGATTTAGAAAAAGGACACGACATATTTCTGCTCTTCTCATTTTGGGTCTGACGTCATTGATATGTCATTTGTTTTTATTTCGCATGTTATAAAGGCGGCAAAAACTTGGACTTAAAAAGAGAACACGACATATTTCTACCCTTTTCATTTTGGGTCTGACGTCATTGATATGTCATTTGTTTTATTAGGCATACGTTCTAAGGGCGGCAATAATTTGGATTTAAAAAGAGAAAGCGATATATATCTGGCCTTTTTATTTTGAGCGTGACGTCACTGATATGTCATTTGTTTTTTTGCTGAGCCAACGCTAATAGTTCAATTAATGACACACATTATAATTTATTGCATGCCACAATTACTCTAATGGCACTTACCTACTGATGATTTAAGTACCTACTCGTTATTTTCTTGCAATTTCTGCATATTTTCTCCCGTTTGAAACCTTCTATGTATCACAATGCTCACGACGCTTTACTACGGGTTATGATTTGGTTCCTAAACCTACGCTTACCCACATGGTCCAACAACCTTATTTTACAGACAAATATATGGTATAGGGGATTCCAAATACGCTTTGGGGTGAGACAAATTGAACTCGGATATAAAGATAAGGTGTACTAGAAGTCAGAAGTGAACGGTGCGCTCTCGATAGCGGCATTAATTCATGCCCGACATGACGGCCCGCTGTTCCCGAGGCATTAGAAATGTGTAGAACTTACTAATAACATTTAGTTTCACACGACGCTCCGTTTCAACTGAAGCTGGTTTTAATTAACTTTTGACGTATGAATAATGTTGTCTCGAGTACTAAGTAATAGGTCACCCCGCCACTTCCAGGCGCTTTAGTTGGGCAAGGGATTAGTGCGAGCTCTTTGAAATTTTGATTGAATATCGATGGAACATGGCTATTTGGTTGGAACGTTCGAATATGATGTTCGAATTAAGTGTAGGAGAGACATGCTTTGGCACGAATGGGCCGGCTCGACCGGAGTGATACCACGGCCTCACAGAAAACCAACGTGAAGCAACGCTTGCGTTGTGTTTCATCGTGTGAGTGAGGTTACCGGAGGCCCAATTGCCCTCCCCTTCCCTTATCTCCCCAATTCCTGAATCCTCAACGATCATCAAACTCCTAATCGCCAAAAGGCCGGTAACGCACTTGTAACGCCTCTGGTGTTCTAGGTGCCCATGGGCGACGCCGATTGCTTACCATCAGGTGATCCGTCTGCTCGTGCCATACCGGCTTATGCCATAAAAAAATGATGTTCCAACCAAATGGTTTCATAAATATATGGAGAGGTTACATTAATAGACTAATGAAATAGGGTAAGCATCCAAACTCTGTGCTCTATAGAGAAATTCAAAATTCAAATTAGGATAATCCAACTCTCCTTCATGTATCCTGTAGAACCATGATTGCTAACAGAAACTTTGACTCACACAGCATGAGTCATACTGGAAAATACAAATGTTCCACAAAAATAATGGTTGAAGCCAGTGGCGTTTGCAACCCCAACTTTAAAAGAACAAAAAGAGACCACTGAAATATGATGTTCATAAACATGACACGGGGATCGGAACACCTAGAACACCGGTACTATACCTACCTACACAGTACAGTCCAACACAAAGGTGCACGAATACTTTCATCATTCCATATTTATTCTAGCAACAAAGGGAATCAAATGTGACGTACATTCCGTCTGACTTACTAATATCATGAATATAAATTGAAACATCATGGATATTTATGCGGGGTTGCCCGCGGATATTGCTCACCGCGGCGATACGCGACCGGCAGGTGTTCAGACAATGTGCCCGCCAGCAATAGATTCCTGATATCAATATTTATGCCTATTACCGACCCGTTCAGAAGAAATACAATACCATAATTTCGACCACTCTTATTCATAGCTTCGGACATTACGAAAACTTTACCCGCTTTTTGTGTAAATCAGAATAGACTGTTTATGTGATTTGCGACACTGATCTCCAATATATTCATTGTAATACACATAAAATTTATGTCTTTGTTATAAAATGGGAGTGGAAGAGCACATTTTGTATCGACTTTATTGTCTGTTTAAACGTCATGTATCAATGTTCCCATATAAACCCTTCACATCAACCAACATAAAATGGTTACGTAAGTATTGAACACCAAAAATGTGTTTCCACATAAAGTTTAAAGTTCAATAAAATCACGACACCAATTAAGGCTTACCGGCAATTTTAATGCGTTGGATTGGTTATAATGAAATTAAAAAATGTTTTAATTAAATTAATAAAATCGAAGCGTAACATCGTGCGATGATAACCGCATCGAATGCAATTACAGTAATCCCGTAACGCACGTACGGACGTACGCACATATACATACGTACGTACACAACGTGTGTGACAACGTAATACGGCTTTTGAGGTTTCCATATACGGCTTACTGGCACTCATAAATGAATTTAATTTCGCTGTAACGTTCTTGTGTACGCAACACTAGGTGAAACGAAAACTCAAGGCACGGAAAGAATGCTGTAAAATTTAATTACAATGGAGAAAATGTACCAAGGTACACAACAGAGGAGGAATAAAAAATATTTTCATTTTCCGTACTTTGTGTTTGCATAATTAATTTCATAGCTATAAATACATAAAAGCTCTTATTACGTTTACAACAGATTTCAAACTAGAACAACAAACTTCAATAACATAGTCCTCCGAGTTACTGAACCTCAAATCCCCGCCGTGAAGAATTTACGAACATAGATTTATAGACAAGAGCGTAGGAACAAGAGCTGGGCATGCCTACACGGAGTGGCTTGGATGGCAGATATGCGAGCGATCCCGACGGACGGCATCTACTCCGGCGAGATTGCATACCGCACTGATATTGACTACCCGGCTAATGTGGGCGGTAATGGATGGAAAGTGCCCCAAAACTGGTGTAGGGTTGGCGTCGACTACGCGCCATTTGAATATACACCAAAATGATTTGGTGTTATCATAAATCTGAGAGGCTGTTTACACAGAGACACTACCATTGTGTTACGATATATTACTGCGTTTCTGATGCAATTGCCTCATCGTCCATCGTGAAGATTCATCTGTAGACATAGCCTGTCAGCTATGGCACTTAGAATAATAACGAAGTACCTATATAATCTTCTGATATTGAAACATTAATAGTCATAAAATTTTCTTAATTTTGATTTAACAAGTTGTAGTAGACGTAAGTCAACCTCACATCGAGGCAAACATTACAAGGAGAACGGACAACTATTTCTCATCGACTTAGGATGCGCTCCAAAATCAAAGGCGGTCGCTACTGGAAAGCGATTGGGGGGCATAATAGACCCTCGGGCGAACCGAGGATCGAACGGAGCGGTCTATTGTGAGTGAAGCTTGAAGCGAATCTGCGCGCCTCTGCCGTCTCGGCCGAATATAGATTCCATTAATTAGCAGCCCACTGAGGCCCACTCGACGAACAAACAGACAATGAAGTATCACAGCACACGTATTTGCATAACAATTGCATCTTAATCGAATCATAGCTAATGGAAACATAGCAATATCTTGTTCATTAATTGATGTATCCAACTGTCTGGCTATGTGATGGCTATTATATAGCCTCTTAGGAGTGTCTATATTTGTAATAGCTTTCGTATATTGGCTATGTACGCGACAGTGGCGACGCGTAGCGTTTACAACATTTGCGGAAGCAGTCGAATAACAACAATGTAAACATTATAATTTTCTTTGCAAATATAAATAAAACCAATGATTAAAATAGTATTGTTAACATTACTTAAGTGCAATTTATTCAATAGTTTTACTGTAAAATGAATATAATAATAAAAACCTGGTTTGAAACTATTACACATAATATAAGTTATTTTAATATTAATATTATTTTTTATTATTTAATATTTGTTAGTTATTTTTACAGTTAACAACGCAACAACAGTTATGGCCCATTTCTTTGCTTTGATTTTGTACTGCAATCAACACATTTGACAGCTGATCATCCGCATTTGTTTCCAATTTCTACCGTGTTGTGCGCTGCGGTCGTTATGTGTCCGCCACTATTCGCTTTGCACATTGATAGCCAATACGAAATCGCTGTCCGAGTATCATATCGTTTATTTCTTCGCAAAACCTATGACCACCGAATGTTTATCTAACCACTTTCATTCCTCGCTCAATTAGCTTAAGTTTATTTAACACTTACTCAAAACACGTCATACAAGATCATTATTGTTTCAATTACTGAGTATTAGCTTAAACATTAGACATTAATAGTGAAAATCATGTTTTATTTTCTACACGGTACTTAGCGGACGCGTCAAGTTTTCAATTATGTTAATTGAAGACGGGCTAAGCTGCATTTCTTGCCGACGACGCGTGGTGGCCATTTTAAAACGAACTGCAAATAAATTAGGCATCAACACACTTCAGTCAACGTTTATGCACTTCGCAACTTTATTAGTTGTCTGGGCGACATAATCATTATTCATTGAATGGATAATAAGACATTTTGTCATGTAAAGATGATTTACCAACCAATAAGATCGTATAACTTAGTGGCTATGAAATAAAGACTTAATTTAATTGCCTGCCAAGCGTGATGAGTATGGATTATGACAAAACATAACATAACATAATATCACGCATTTTCATCCCCGAAGGGGTAGGCGGAAGTGCACATTATGCCACTGTACAATGTAACACCCACTTTTCACTATTTATGTTATGAGTCCCATGTAATAGAGGGTGACCCTATTGCCATATCCCGGGCACAATTCCAGACTCCGTGCTACAACTGACATTTTTTTTAAAAACCCTATAATACTTTGCCCGACCCGGGAATTGAACCCGAGACCCGGCAGTTGCACTTGCGACCACTCGGCCAACGAGGCAGTCGTATGACAAAACAAACCCTCTTTTATAGAAGAGGTCCGTAGGTGTTCCGGACTTCAATGTTCCGGTGTTTTCGTGGTTGTATCTACTGTAGATCCTGACTTACAGGAGTTGCAGCGGTTTTGGGAGGTTGTGGCGGGCTTGTCCTTAAGAGGTCCGTAGGTACTCCAGGAATATAGTAAACTGTCACAGGCTGTTGTGGAAATGATGCCGTATACTATGCAACGATATATAGGGTCCAAAATACAGAAACAGGATTTAGGATTAAATAGCGGGAGAAACACTACTAAGACCTAGTATCCAGAACTATCTTTTAAAACAGTATTCTTGTTAAAATAAACCGTAATTGTATGCATGAGATTAGGTACTAAGTCTGGAGTAGGGACGTTGAACGAAGCAAAATTATATACAGCCACCAGCTACTAGCTATTCTGTATGTACACTACTCCACGACTACTATATTCTTGTTAACAAGATAGTGCCACGAACATTTACAAACGAGTATGGAACAGCTAAATATTTCATTAACATGTAAATTATTATGAGAAGCTAAAAATACTCCCCATAAAATTACCTAGTCAAAGAATGTAGATTAAAAATGTCACCCTGTGCTTTTAAAGCGATAAAAATTGCATAAATTGAAGTGACACAGATAGTTATGGCGTGTCTTATCTTAAATGTGTAACATAGTTTCGATGTGACAATTAAATGATCATAAAACTACACTATGAAATGGAATAGGTAGATAAAATAAACGATCTTCATTTAGCACTTTGCTACACGTTTTGCCAAAAAAAATTGTACTTTATAGTCGCTTCATGACACTGTTGACTAAGGTACTGCAGTGTTGCATCAAGTCGTCCCATGGACGCCGGTCGAGTCGCTTTAATAGCGTTCAACTAAAACAAGCAAAGCTCCACATGCAAACTTCATTTACTTTACGGCACATTACATCAATGTAAGCGAACAAATTCATTAGGGCCCGTAACTTACGAACGAAGCGATAAAATACATCACGCTCCTTTGTGAAATTGTTGACGCGAGGGAAGTATGCGTGCAGTATTACGTATTACGTAGTCGTACCCACATGCGAAAATAATTAGGATTTTGTTTGAAATTAATAATTTTATTCAGTAAATTCGTGTGAGGTCATACAAATTCTTAATTGTCACCGCTTTTGACCGATATTACAAGGACCGCTGCGCAAGCGAAAGGATTTCACATAACAAGATTGGTTCACGTCCTTACAATATTTTAGTTCCGAAACAAATGTCACGTGATAGATCAAAGGGACCAACAAAAATGTATAAGTAATTCAGCATAAACGGT